CACTCTCAACCAGTCGATACCCATAGGAGAGGCTACCGGGGATAGTCATGCTGCCATTCTTTTTTGATTTAATGAAAGACCACAAACCGTTCGGATTTTCACCAATGTTAGACTGCGTGGTGTCTAGAAACAGGTTACAATCGCTTGCAATTAAAGTTTTAGTGCGAGCACAGATCAAACGAAAGGTTTCATAATAGATATGGTTCCTTGTGATTTTCCATTTCTTATGAAATTTGAGTTTTTCCTTAATGGCTTTAATGGTTGGCAGTGAGTGCCAGGGCGGAAATCTACGTTTATAAGTAGTTTTTTGAGGAACAAATTTGTCAACTGCTCCGCGAACAACAGAGTAAAATATATTTTTGTAATTCGCGACGATAATGAACGCTATTACAGTACTCAAACGGGTGCTGTAATGAGACTCCTTACATCATCCGATGCTGTAATGAGATTTTTGTAATATTTTTGGAACCAGTTCAAGTTGGTGACATTGGGCCATTAATTTTTCTGATTGTCAATGTGACAATTTGAACCACACCTAAAATTAGCGTACTGTTGTTCGTACCTTTCGTGGGACTTCTCTGGAAGCAGTGTTTTAATAGAACTCTCAGCAATATCTCTTATTTCGGGAGGTGTACATGAAACATTTTTTTCAGGTGAATACATTTTGTGCTTTGACAATTGCTAATTGTCAATTCAAATTTCTATTTTCAAGTGTTACGGTGTTACCAACTACCTATTTCTCTACATTTATTTTATTTTTGTTAAAAAAACGTATAAAAACGCGAATTACAAAAAATAGCATAAAAACACGTTTCATAAGACTTAAAGCACTCATTAATTCAAACTCTTCATTAAAAAACTCGTGGCTTCGCCACTTGAATTCGTGCATTTCAAGCGTGTCTTACGAAACTAGTTTTTTAATATACTATTACCGTCTCATCGACTGGTAAATGTTGTTATTGTTAATATTGCAATTATTTTATTTGGAAAAGTAGATTATTTTGCATTCAATTTAGTTAATAAGATTGTTGTTAATATATAATAATAATAATATATAGTTTATTGTTCTATTGAAAACAAATACAAAAAATAAGAACTTAAAGATAACAAAATTAAAAACAAAATTGAAATTATAATAGAGCGACCGTATGGTGCGCATTCAGCAGAAAAAAGCTGATCTTCCATACGCTCATAATCGACCCAGTAATGATCGCACAAGGATACAGCACTACAAATCATATTTAATTACGGAAACAAAGCCACTCTTTTATTTTCTTAGCTAAATCAAGAATTTGTTAATTGAGCCCGAAACAGTTTTTCAAACATGGCTAACTTAAGTGAGTCCACCGAAATTGCTGATGGATGAAAACCCACGCCGAAATTTACATGTTATATAACTTAAAAATTTGGTTAGGTAAGGAGGCACACCCGTAACAATTATTTTATAAAAGAGAACAGTAGTATGCATCGTTCTTCTATTATGCATGTTAAACCAATTAAGCTTCTCCAGTTTATGACTCACATGATCTCTCCGTCTCAAACCAAAAATCAAGCGTATATATGAATTCTGCATTCGTTGCACCCTCACTCGCAGCTGAGAAGTCAAGAACGGAGAGTACAGTGCATCAGCACGACTAAAGTGGGACAGGACCAAGGAATCACAGAGCATGATTTTCAACTTTCGGGAAAGATAATGTTTCATGTTATATAATTTTTTCATGTGAATAAAAGTCTTTTTTAGACATAAATTTATATGGTCGCGAAAGCTCAAAGCCTCGTCTAGCACAACTCCCAAATTTTTTACTTTTTCCTTTAAACTCTAAATGATCTCCATTTAGTGTTACTTTAATCCTATCCTTTACTCTATTTCTAAGCTTTCGCGGACCAAATACAATAAGCACGGTTTTGCTACTGTTAATTTGTAGTCCATGTCGCTGAGAATAGTCCACGATCGACGACAAATCATTCTCAAGCCGACCACATAACTCATCCAACTCCGTCTCCTTACCCGATACATAAATCTGGGTGTCATCAGCATAATAGTGATATTTGGAGTATTTTAAGCAGTTTGATATGCTTCTAACATAAATCGGAAACAACAGTAGTGACAATATAGATCTTTGAGGACACCCAGAAGTAGATACCAGAAAATCTGACCTACTGCCACCTACGCTCACGGCTTGCTCTCGCCCAGCAACATATTCACTAAGCAAATTCAATGCCTTAGGTCGAACCCCATTGTGATATAATATAGCAAAAAGCAGCTGATGATCGATCATATCAATTCAGTCGATCAACAACAGCGGCTTTACTGAGTCTATAAAACATAGGATAGTTATATTCTTGTCATCTGCAGCCCTCAAAATATCATCCACTACACACAAAAGTGCTGTGATGCAGCTAAACCCCGATCTAAAACCCAACATCTGTACATGAAACTAACTGATTCATTTGTTGCTATAACAGTTTTCACACACCTTCCGTCCCAGCCGGTAGCGATAGACTTAACTGAGTTAATCGTCATCATTACTTGATCCTCAGACACCAATTGAAACTCAAAAACATTGAAGAGACGTCGACAGTTCATATAGTATCTGTAGGTGTTAGGATGTACATGATGCACAGGAAGTGAAGGGACAGGATTGTAAGAAATATTTTTTGATAACATCGGGATTTTGTAAGTTCACCGGTAGTTCATTTTTTGTCCTTTGGATTACACCTAAATTATTTAAAGCTTTCCATGGATTTTTTATATTTTGGTTAAGGTGATGCTGGAAATATGCTTTTTTTCCCTACGAATTGACTGATTTACATAATTGCGGAGATCTTTGTAGTATTCATGACACTGCATTACTTGTAAAATACCATTTGTCAAAAATCACATCTTCTCATTGACGTTAGGTATATCAAAAATCTCAAAAAAAAGGAATCGCGTAAAGATAATTGTAAAATGCTTGATAATCAAAATCTTTGTAGCTCCTGAAGATGTTTAATTGTAGACACTTAATGGTCACATCAATGTTTAGTGTATAGAATATTACTTCATGATCCGATAGTCCATCTGAAGATGCAACACATGTATCGATTACTGATTCAGGGTCAGATACCATAATAATGTCAAGCAATGTTAATGATGACGATGTAACTGTTGAGATTACTTAGGAGACTAAAAGCCTCCATAAAATCCACTAAACTACGCGATGCACGAATTTCTAATTGCAGACAATTGATATTTAAATCACCCAATATAACCATTTTGGAGACCACTGGCAAAATTTCGATGACTGTGTTCTCCAAAATATTCAAATATTCTATTACTCCTACTCTAGGTGCCCGGTAGACTACCCCTGTTGCATAAACTTGTTTATTAATCTTTATGCTTAACCATAATTGCTCAATTGCAACATTCGTACCAATTAATGTAGCATTAAGTTGTTTTTTAATATAAACTGCTACTCCTCCACCTCGAGCATTACATTACGATCTTTGCGAAACAAATTAAAATTATTTATTTTTAACTCCTCAGATATCAGCTATCAGCCTGCTATCAGCCATTTGACTAACTAGTTCAGAGCAAATGTAGTACTAAGCAAAAAAGAATCAATATAAAATAAAACAAAGTATAAATTTAAAAATAAAGTATAAACGATAGTTGCTCAGTACGCAGCGATGCGACAGCTAGGGTATTGGAAAAAAAAATTAGTACCTAACTAGATATATCAAACATTGACAACGTAACTCTTTATTTAGGTCTATTCCTGGTACTCCTGACTCGCGTGCCGACTTCGTTCATAACGATGGTCGCTCCCATCCGTCGACAAGCTGCCTCAGTGACATCAGAAACATCGATTCAGTAATCGATTCTAATTTTCTTAATGCCTGTATTACAGTAGATAGATCCTCGTACTGTCTATACATTACGCTTTCCAAGTTTTTCCCGCGTAGGATGATATTATAGTTGATGTCTCTGTTTAGTAAGATCCTCTACGGTCACCAATTTTGTAGATCGCAATTCTTTCCTAGACCTTAAGACCAAGTTCTTATGATCCACACGCGCAAACTTCACGATAACGGATCTAAGGTTCTTGATTTTTTGACCCAACCGATGTGCGCATTCAATAGCATCAGGTGGTAAATTGACGCCCATTTTATCTTTAAAAATGTTCATTACTTCAATACCAGTGTTTTCATCGGCTGTTTCCTCCAATCCAAATATCCGAACATTTGATCGTCTCGTATATTGCTCGAGACTAGACTGTACATCGCCGATTTGTTTACTATACTTGGACAAGATTTCCTCAAACCGGGTTTCAATACGTGTGACCACTTTCTCTAGCAACGCGCAGTCTGTATCTCTTTGTCCGAAAGCGATTCTTTAATGGATTGTTTAATCAATGATTTTATATCATTGTGCTGCGCTTTATCGAAAGCTGGCAACATGAAAATGAATCCCGTACTATTCTCTAACTACTTGCATAGTTTCACTTTACTAGGTACACTTTTAACCACTGTTTTTTACTCGTATAAATGCCGCACAGTCGCAATTGCGTATTACTCGCTCTGAGACAACATAACAAAAAAAAAGAAAATATACTTCATAAATTTTAAAATAAATGAATTAATATTTGAAATATTCATAATTATCTATCTTCCATTCCCCTGTATACTCAATTTTGTGAACAACTGTACGTTATATGCGATTGAACGTTATAACCCGGATACAACATAATAAATAGACTTTAGTGACATTACTGTATAATTTTGTGTATTGGTGATTCAACGTCTGCTCTTTTGTCAATTAATCCATTAGTTCAATTAATTCTTAATAGAAGATATAAAGATTTAATTAATACTTTTGAAATATTATAGGAAACTATATAGCTTAGAATGAGTTGCCTATACCAAAATATTCTAACCCAGCAGGATTTAAAAACGCTTTGTCTAGTAACCATGACGACGCGATGTCTTGGAAATCGTAATTTCGCGCAGTCGCAGTATATTTCGTGCTGTGCCCCTGCTGCGGCGTTTCGTCCTGCTGATGGGCCGCGCGGCGCCTATTTTATCAACGAACCGTCTGTCCCGGCCGCGAAAAAATCATTTTAGTGAATGAAAATGCGCCGACCCGAACGGAAGATCGCGCACAATTCGATTTAGCGAGCCCTGGTCGTATTGAGAACCCGATAAAACTGAAAACTTTTTCTGCTCTGCCACCCAAACAACACACCATGTCCAATGTGAGTACACGTTTTTTTTTGTTATTTTTTTCATTCTTTATTTTGGTTGCTCGCACCGCTTACGTATCGATCAGCTGTCTTAGAAACACAAAAACCGTCTCACTCTTACACTCTGACATGTGTTCCTGGTGACAATTTTTACCTCAAATTAGATGTCAAATTAAAAAGAAACTAGATTTTTTTTTGCAACTGAAATACTTTTGGTTGCCAAAAGTTGGCGGAGATATGAATGATGTGTGAAACGAGATTGAGAAATTGGAATGAGCTGCGAATTGATGGAGATGAATGATGTAGAGACTATGATGAATGAATAAGGAAAATAAAAAATATTTTTAAACTTGAATTTTAATTCAAGGATTTAATTCAAAATAATAATAATAAGAGAAATAATATTATTAGTCAGGTTTCATCTTAATTTCTTTTGTTAATTAACACAAAGGGAATACGGTGATATCAGAATTCACAACATCTTTTGTTGTGTGTTTGTCATATACAGTATTATAGGAATTGTCTCACCTTGAAAACAGAATTTTTTTAATTAAATTCTATTCGTAGCAATTTATATTTTAGTGTTAATGAAACGAAAAACACTTCGCAAAAGTAAACGAAAAATATATTTAAAATTGGTGCTGTTTTAACATGAAAAAAGTACGAAATGGTCAACGTTTATTAAAACTTATTTAATAAACTCATTCAAAATCTCAATCGATCAAGACCCAAAATCGGCAGATAAACCTCTTTAAAAATGCGTTCAATTTTAATTTGAAGTCTAAGTTGATAGAATCTGTAAAATGTTTTTGATATTTTCTGATACGTGGAAATGAATAGGAATTATTAGTTATTTGTAAAAGCGCCCATTTAATATTTTCTCATTTCTAGATGAATATAATAATAAATAATAATATAACGAAATATTTCTATTATCGTCAAAATTATTTCTAAGAATCTATCTTGAAAGTATCAAAATTTGTGAAATTGAAAATTGATTAAAAATACCTTTAATTTTATGTTAAAAAGAATGAGAGTTGTTAAATATTATTTATACTTCAATTTTAAGACAATTCATTTCTCAACCACTTCCTGTTATTGTATATTACACTGGGTGACATTGTGTAGGTTCCACTAATTATTGTTTTCTTTAAGGTACGTGATACCAATACTAGTAGGGATAAGTAAGAATTATAAAATGTTAGGACATCTCAAACCTTTTTTATTTTCTTGATATCGTATTAGTGGTAATTTTATCTGTGCTTGGATATACACACAAATTCTTTACGTGTATTCCGCAATGTCTATTTTTTTTCCGACAAAACAACATTATAATGTATCCGAATAAAAGTGAACAGAGTGAAAAACCCGTCTGAACGTTCCCCGAACTCGTTCGATGTTTGAATAAATCAGGGGAAACCCAGGCAAGTACGGGTGGTTTTTACAGTGGAAAAAATTTGATATTATTGAAAGACGTGAACATGGTGAAAGTGTTACTTTATTAGCAACGAATACGGACAACAAACCACACTCGATTTTGCAAAACTGCAGAGCAAATTGGAAAAATTCGTTTCTTTGTATGAAACATCAGCTAGATCTTTACATGGGAAAATAGTGAATGATGCGAAGAGTGAACATCTGAAAAATGTAATGCTGGAGTGTTCTTTTCTGCAAAGAGCACTACGAGAGCCGATATCCAGTCCGTATGTGTTAGAAAAGCACAATACTTTGTGGAAAAGTTACAAATCACCGAAGGACTTCCACTTGCAACAGGTTGGTTGCGACGTTTTATAGAAAAGCATGAAATTAGATAAATGCAAATGCAAGGGGAACACCTTAGTACTGACGAATCAATTTTTCTGTGTGTCAAACGTGATTAAAGAAATGGATTTAGTATGTGCTCAAATATACAATGCTGATGAGACCGATCTACTGGCGTGCAATGCCTACTACACGTACATTAACATCTGCTAACGAAGAAACTGCTCCTGGCTATAAAATTAGTAAACATCGAATTACAATCAAGTCGCTTAATCACTACTGGAGAAGATAAACTAAAATTAGTTGTAGTAGGAAAATCAAAGTTTAAAGAAAAAAAAAATCTAGTCGATTACTATAATCACCGTTCTGGCTAGATGTCACATACACAAATATACAGGGTGTTTCATTTAAAATGACATATGCTTATATCTCGAAAACCAAAACTCGAATCGAGAAAAGTTTCAAGTAAACTTTTTTTGGTAAAAAGGGGGGCACAGGGTACATATGAGCAGGGTTACCTAAAGGCGCTTCTGACGTCATTTTCATTTTTTCAAATCACACATATAATTTTTCTTTCAACGTCTTGAACAACTTGACAAACTAAGTATTTTTTGCTTAAAATTTTTTTTTCTTAAATTCTGCGTTATGAAGATATCTACAAAAAGAAACATAAAACAACATTTTTCAAAATGTAATTAAAAAAATTTAATTAGTAAAAAAACGATTTAATTAATCGTAAAATAGTACTCAAATTCTTCTTCATTTTTGAAATCACCTTAGAACATTGATTAACATTTATAAAGTTTTATCCTCTATACATCGATTAAATGCTCAAAATGATGACCATTCACTTCTAAACATTTTTGAATTCTCATTGAAAACGTTCTCTTCACATTGCCAAGCATTTCTTCAGTTATTGCTTCGCAAGCTGCTCTGATACGGTTTTTCATATCGTTTGGTGTTGTTGGAACCTGGTTGTAAACTTTCTCTTTGAGGTAACCCCAAAGAAAGAAATCGGGAGAAGTTAAGTCGGGTGATTTAGCTGGCCAATTCACCAGTCCATTACGTCCTATCCATTTTCAGGAAACATTTCGTCTAAAACTTCTCTTGCGGCTAGAGCATAATGAGATGGACATCCATCATGCTGATACCATAGCGCAAGTCTTCGCTCCAGAGTAAGGTCTTCCAACAAAATCGGTAAATCGTTCAACAAAAAATTTCGATACTTTCTGCCATTCAAATTGCCATCAATAAAGAAGGCCCAATTATTTTATTGCCAACAATGCCGCACCAGACATTAACTGACCAAGGTTTTTAATGATTAACTTGTTTTATCCAACGAAGATTTTCATGTGACCAGTAGTGCATGTTATGACGATTTACTTGGCCGTGATTGGTGAAAGAAGGTTCGTCGGAAAATAGTACATTGAAGAAAAAAATATTCATTCAATCTTCATTTTTCCATAGCCCAAGTACAAAATTGCACACGATTTTCGAAATCATCGCCATGTAATTGTTGGTGTAGAGAGACATAATACGGATGAAACTTATTAAGTTTCAAAATTCGATGTACACTTGTTAACGAAATGCCTGAATCTTTTGACATGACGGCAACTTACATGAGGATTAACATCTACAGCTGCTAAAACAGCTATTTGATTCTGTTCATTCGTAACCGATCTTGCACGTGTTCGTTTTTTTTCCTCCACGTTATCACATTCCAGAAATTTTGTAACTATTTGATATAAAGTTTTAGGACAAGGCGCTTTTTCTCCAGGAAATTTTCGAACATAAATGCGATGGGCCTCAGCGAAATTTTCACGACTTTCACCGTAAGCTAACATCATCAGAATTTTCTGTGGAGTAGAAAAGTACTCCATTTTTGCTTTGATCACAATGATTTTTTCGCTTAAAATTTTTATCTCACGTGCAAGTTAGCGCACATCCAAACAAGATTTAGAACAGGATTTACTCGATTTATAAACATTAAAAAAAATGTTTAATCAATTTTCTAAGACGATTTCAAAAGTTAAGAAAAATTTTAATATTATTTTACGATTAATTAAATCATTTTTTTTATTAATTAATTTTTTTCAATTACATTTTGAAACATGTTATTTTATTTTTGTTTTGATATCTTCACAACGGAGTGTTTAAGAAACAAATTTTTTAAGCAAAAGGTAATCAGTTTATCAAGTTGTTTAAGACTTTGAAAGAAAAAAGTGTATGTGCTATTTGAAAAAATAAAAATGACGTCAGAAGGGCCTTTAGGCAACCCTGAAAAAAATTCTGTTCATGTGTACAATATGTCCCCCTTCTCACCAAAAAATGTTTACTTGAAACTTTCTTCGATTCGAGTTTTTGTTTTTGAGATATAAGCATATGTCATTTTAAATGAAACACCCGGTATATCAGGCAAAAGTCTGATATCTCAATTATGCGTTATTATTTTCCCAGACATATGGAAGTTAAATAAATATAAATAAAAAATCTTTTAATAAAATCTCATGCGATGAATCATCTGAAGAACATGAATGATAAACCTATCGATATGTTTCAGTCGGGTGTTTTCAGCCTGTATAAATGACCGGCGATGATCTAGTCGATAGTGCAACCAAGTCAATGCCTGGACCGAGTACACTCCAGGAATGTAGTGACGATGAGACGCAAATCACCTGCAAGGAAGCACTCGCGGATGCTGAAAAGTTTATATTTTAAGGGAGAGCAAGATAACACCAACTATAAAGACATTTTAAACATTCGTACTTTGATTTCAAATATTAAAGATTAAAAAAAGGAAAACAAGTGAAAGTAAGAGACTATTTTAAAAAATAAACTAAGTGTTTTTATAAGTTTGTAGGCTTTTACGGCCAGTAACCATTAGAAGTAAAACTAAAACTAGAAATGTCCAGGTTATGCCGTGCCTCTATTAAAAGATTGTTTGACGTTTCGGATGACTAATTCTCTGAAAATCGAATATATTGTCATTTTGATACATTACATTTTGTGGAAGGCATATTTTCTAATGGATTCCGTGGAACTCTTATATTGTTAATATAATCTCTCATGACTAAAGGTTTTAATACATCTCCATTTCTGATAGACTTTGATTTCTCCATAGCGTTGGTGTATATTGCTGCAATGGACATCTTTATTGCATACAAATTATTGGCAGAGTAAGTTCTTCTCGTGCAGTATATACATTCAGCGTCACCTAGTTGTACTATAGCTAAATTATAAAGTCTGAAATG